TTCGAACGTTTCCGTTTTCTTCGTTAATTTTGTTAACGGTTTTGCGATTCGCGAAAAATTTTCTATAAATTTCCGGTAATAACCCGCTAGTCCGATAAACGATTGTACGTCTTTTACTTTCCGTGGTGTCGGAAAATTTTTTACCGCCTCTAATTTCGACGGATCTGGCAGTATACCGTTTTCGGAAATAATATGTCCAAGGTATATTACCTCTTTTCGTAAAAATTCGCATTTGTCAGGCTGTAGTTTGAGACTATGTTTCCGTAGGCGTTGTAATACTTCCGCGAGTCTTCTGTTGTGATCCTCTAAACTGGATCCGTATATAACGATGTCGTCGAGATAAACGAGACATCGGAGTCCTTGTATCCCGGTTAGCACTGAGTTCATGAGTCGTTGGAAAGTCGCAGGCGCGTTTTTAAGTCCAAACGGCATTCTATTAAACTCGTAGTGTCCGTAGGGAGTCGAGAAGGCTGTTTTATTTTTGTCGCGCTCGGCCATCGGTATCTGCTGATATCCAGATGCAAGGTCGAGCGTCGTAAAATACTTCGCGTTTCCCAGCTGATCCAAAATATCGGTAATATTCGGCAGTGGGAATGAGTCGCCTATAGTCAATTCATTTAACTTTCGGAAATCGACTACTACTCTTAATCGCGGTTTGCCTGTTGCGTCAGTCTTTTTTGGCACTACTAATAACGGTGCATTCCACTGGCTAATGCTTGTACTAATAATTCCGTCTTTTAGCATTTCCTGTACTTGTTTGTTCACTTCTGATTTGTGTTTTTCGGGAAGGCGATACGGTCTCACATTGACGGGTGAGGTATCGACGCGCGTGCTTATCTCGTGTTTTAACGTTGCTGTGCATGACAGTGGTTCTCCGCTTAAATAAAACACGTCGCTATATTCTTCGCATATTTTCTGTATCGCTTTCCTTTCTTCCTCGTTTAAATGCTTTGTGTGTAACAATTGTCAAATTCGTTCGTCACGCGTTAATTGATTCGGAGTCTCGTCTATATGTATCGTGTACAATTCGTGCGCGTTATCTTCGCAAGCGTCTTCTACGGTTACGAGGGGTGTGTGTATCTCGACCGGCTCATCAGTTGTATTAATTACACTGATGGGACATTGGTAATTCTTCGGTTCTACCAAACATCGTCCGATATAGATTCCTGGGGCGGTTTCTTTGGCTCGAATGATCCCTGTCTTATTATCATTTGTTATCGCGTGTATAATTGTTTCACTACGCGGCTTTAAGATAATTTTGTTGTACGGTTGCAATTTTAGGACGGCGTTTCCGATTTGTAATTCGCGTTTTTTGTAATCGCACGTGACTTGCTGCTTCTGAAGGAAGTCGATTCCTATGATCCCGTCATATTCCATTGGGAAATCATCTTTCACGACGTAAATCGCGTGTTTTATCTTGTTTCCGTTTAGCTCAATTGTCGCGTATATTTTTCCGATCGTCTTTGCTTTATGACCGGTTATTCCAACGAGGGTTATTTTATTATTGTAAATTTCGGTCTCGCCCTTCAAGTGTTTCACTTTTATCAATGAAATCGTAGCTCCCGAATCGTAAAGCATATTTACTCTTCCGCGTTTTGCTTCTCGCATAGGCAGAGTAATTATATTTAAACTCGCTCTTTCTCTCGGCGTTCGGCGCACGTGTGTCACCTGATATTCGAGCGCGCGAGTCTTCTTAATCTTATCTCCGCGCTCTCCGTCTTCATCGCTGCTACGTTCGGACTCGGAATTTCTCTCCTGCCGGATTCTTTGATTATCTATTTTATTAATACTTCGCGGTTTTTTTCGATCCTCTGGCTTGTTCCGTGGGGGCGTATTATTTTTCGGTCGTCCGTTTAATTCCCAACATTCTTCGCGGTTATGTCCACGTTTTTTGCAATGGTTGCAAAATTTTTCGATGGCGGATACGCGCGAGGATTTTTCCGGTTTCGGCAGAACGTTGATTGTGCTACGACAGTCTCGTCCGTAATGTCCGGGTTTTCCACATCTATAACATTGTCCCGTCGTTCGCTGTCCTGACCGCGTTGATTCAGGCTTATTTAGCGAGGAATTAGTTGCCCGTGACATGCTAGGTCCGATAAATCTCTCTTCCGCGCTCGCGCCGGCTATCGCTTCTTGAAGCGTCATATATCGTTGTGAGCGTACGAGTACCTTTAAGTCGCTTCGTAGCCCTAATTGAAAATTTAATAATGCTTGGGTTTGGATCGTTTGTAAGATAGTGCGTTTCTCTGAGCTCGTTTGGTTTTCTCCCTCTATCATTGAATCGTATAAATTCATAGCGAGCTGGTCGACGCGTTGCCCGAAATTTTGTGTTGTCTCATTATATTTCTGCTTTAGCGAATTAAATTCTAATTGCAAGTGGGCAGTACTTTGCTTGCATTGGTATGCGGTCTCTAGTTGTTGCTTTAATTCTTCAAACGTTTGTATGTCTCGCGTTTCGAAGACTTGCATGGCTTTACCTTTTAATTTAGTAAATAGTATGCCCTGTATCAGAGACTCTTCGTCTCCGGGATGTATGTTTTGCATTGTATATGTGCATGCGTTTAGAAATTCCTGAAGGCGGTGTCGCGATGTACCGTCGAATTCGGGTATCATCATTCGCGCTTCTTTTAGAGACATATATTGTCGTGCAGTACTCCGTCGATTTCGTACGTCGCGCTCAGTCCGTCCGTAAGTCATACGAGGCTCGTAATCGGACTCCCGCTGTTCGTCTGTGTGTGTGTATGCCTGTGCGGCTTCTATCCTATTCATACGTGTGTTTAGTGTATGTAGCTCTGCATGTATCGCTTGTATTATATTAAGCATTTGTGAAGTTTCTCCGGGCGCTACGACGGAGGGTTGTTGTGACGTGACGTCTAAATTCTGTCCCATTTGTGCAAGGGTTTGTCGGAGTATGCTTATTTCGGCATCTATCGCGGTTGGCGGAATAGTTGCGTTCGCGTTTGTATTTTCTGCCATATTTATTTCGCTATAAATTTCTTCGGGATCGAATATTTCGCTGTCGTATGACGTTAATGAAAATTCTCTTCGCGAAGATACTCTACTCGGAGTTCGGCTGATATACGGTCGCAATCGACGCGGTTCGTTTTGAGTTACTTGAACGGAGTCGCTTGGATTTTTTGCGAATATACTCGCGTCAAAACTAGTAAACGGAAATTCTCGTTCGTTTATTACGTTCGGAGGTAACTCGGTATTATTTTCGTTTGTCAAGTCGCTGTCTAAATTTCTACGAACGCTTTCGAGATTTTGCGCAGTTAAAGGCAATACTCGCGTCGTTAACCGTACAGGTGTACTATGCAACCACGATTGGTTTTTAATCGCTTGTCGGGGTGTTTCGTCACCTTCCGACATTCACGCTATCAAATAAATTCGGACTTACAGTATTACGGCTCGCATCGTTACGCTCTATACGGGTCGGCTGCTGCTGCTGCAACTCGATCGCTCGTGGGCTGATAACGGCGGCTCCGTGTTGGTGATAGATACGGCGGGTCGTCGCTCGTGTTGATGCGCTGCCCGTGAGGTTGTCGTAGGTCGGCGTTGTCCTTGGACGTCGGCGATCCTTTTCGATTCTCTGCTGCTTATCACTCGTTGCACTGTTTATGTTGTCTGCTCTCTCGTTCTCTCCTAGTCGTGGCTTCTGCTTATTTCCGTCAGAGTTACTGACGTGCCCGTCTAACACTTGTTATAATTGTATGTGTTTTTACAGGTCTTCGCCGCTGTGAAGATTTTAGAGACGACGTCGGCCCTGCGGCTGAGATCCCACCGCTGCCACCAAATTGTTGTGCCTCCGGGAAGGCACGGAAAATTTTGGGGTCTCAGTCGACTGAAGGATGAGGATCCTAGGATCGGCGGGCGTCTCCACTTTGATTAACTTCGCTTGTGTATTTGAATAAATCTTTTATTTCGCTTATTTCTTGAGTTGGATTAATTATGTATAATCCCACCTGGGTGATTAGTTAGGTGTGCTCGCTCTCGATAATCGGATTACAGGTGATAGTTATATTCTGCGGCTTGTCTTCGACTCCTAGTTAGGTTCTAGTTAGCGACTCGACCTTTTGGATTTTCGTTAGCGACTGCCTTCGTCGCCTCGCTTTCCGTTCGCGGTGGTCTCCTGCCCTTTTCTACATCTTTCGGGGGAAGATGTAGAGAAGCTCTTTCATTGGCTAATTTTTATTCACACACTTTTTATCTAGGTGCAAGCGAAGCAGGTTGATTCTTTGCTTGCGGTCCGCGGGTTTCGGCGTAACGCTTATGTTTCATCGCGTTTGCGTCTTTTCGCGATAAGCGCTTCGCGAGAGCGTGAGAACGTTTCTCAAATGATTATATAATAGCTGACTTACTAATTTATTATTAAAACTATGTTAATATAATATAATATAATATAGTTATAGTCATTCGGACTATAACAAAGTTGTCGGAGGATTTCCTTGGCTTCCTGGAGGGTAGAAGCTCCAGACAGGATGTCGTCCATGTAAACGTCGGAGCGGAGGACCGCGGCTCCCTCAGGATGACGATCGCCTTCGTCCACGGCGAGCTGGTGCAGCGTGCGGATGGCCAAATATGGAGCGCAGGCTAAGCCGTAAGTTACTGTAGTCAGCCAATATTCCTTGATCTCGGTCTCTGAATCCTTCCTCCATAATATCCTTTGCACACTGTAAAATAATTCAGTAAATTTACACAAATAATAGATGTAAAAATTACATGACTAGTCTGGTAAATATAAAAAATCATGTAATTTTACAGAAATTATGTAATTCCACAAAAATTATGTATATTTGTCTTTTATTGTGTAAATATATCTTGTTTTACATGGAAACTTACAAAATAATGTAATATTTTAAATATTTTATGTAATTATCGAAATTTTTGTAATATTATGAAATACAACCGTAATATTCTAAATCGTGTGGTATATCCGTATGCCATGCGCGCTATATTACGCGATCATAGGTGGAAGTTGGGAGCGCTGTTGTCGCATTTCCCGCTTTTTGGCAATCACGTCGCGACATGTTACTGTTCTTATTAACTGATCAACAGTGATGCGTATATCAAGTACGTCTTACAAGTGTATATTACGAGTGCGTATTAGAGTGTCTCTCCGCACAAGAAAAGGAAAAGATCCATTTTTGTCTACTTGCCTTCTACGTTTCAACTTTCTACAAGAAAGGTAACTATAATATTTTATTAATTTTCTTCGAAACACGTACAATAGGTTAATCAGCAAAGGGAAAAATAGTAGGTCTTTTGTACATAGACTTTAATAGTGAAATTATTTAATATATTTATATTTATATTAAATTTAAGTCTTTTATGTATATACTCGCGATTCCTTGTTTGATATTCATTCATTTCGCGCACAAATATTGTGAAAAAATGTTTCATATGGCATGTGAAAAAATATTTTATATGGCATGTGCTAAATTCTTACACAGTATATATACATGGCTATAGAAACAAAAAATGTAATCTAAAAATATTACATACTAGTATAATTTTTATCTAGTCGCAATCGCGTTAATTCCATCGCATTGTTTAGATCAGCTATTTTTTGTACAATTAACGTAACCTAAAATCATAGTGTTTTGTTTATTAATAGTTCGACCTGACTTGTCGATAAAAAATTGTTTCTGTACACGTTTCGGCCTTAGGGTACGGGCCCTTCTCAAGTGTTATTAGGTATATCCTAAAATATTATATGTATATAATTAATGATATATATTTATGATGTTATATATAGGTGCGCATGTGAACGTGATACGTTGCAATATCATTTCTACAAGACTGAAGGAAAAAAATAATCTGTATTATATTATTATTTATAAGAGTTTTAACAAGGCTCTGTAATATAAATATAAATTTAACGTATAAGACGGGCAACAAGAGCCAAATCGCGGATGACAATGCGTTATCCTAACGAAACTAAATAATTTTTCGTTAGAATTAAATACCGGTGCACAAGGCACCAAATTTTTACTTGGACACGGCCAAGATTTTAAATATGAAATAATCTCATATTTTGAGATTTAATTTCAATACCCCTTTAACCCCCCTACGGAAAATAAATAAATGAATGCAAGAGAAAATATAAATCCGAAAATCGCTGAATCGGGAATCGAACCCGAGACCTTTCGCTTGCCGGGCGACTGCTCTTCCAGCTGAGCTATTCAGATCCTTTCGATTCTATACTTTTCTCTGTTATATATATTAATGTTGGTAAACAAACGCATTTTTTAAGCCAGCGTGTATCAAATATAAAAGTTTTAACAAGGCTCTGTAATATAAATATAAATTTAACGTATAAGACGGGCAACAAGAGCCAAATCGCGGATGACAATGCGTTATCCTAACGAAACTAAATAATTTTTCGTTAGAATTAAATACCAACATTAATATATGTTTACCAACATTAATATATATAACAGAGAAAAGTATAGAATCGAAAGGATCTGAATAGCTCAGCTGGAAGAGCAGTCGCCCGGCAAGCGAAAGGTCTCGGGTTCGATTCCCGATTCAGCGATTTTCGGATTTATATTTTTCTCTTGCATTCATTTATTTATTTTCCGTAGGGGGGTTAAAGGGGTATTGAAATTAAATCTCAAAATATGAGATTATTTCATATTTAAAATCTTGGCCGTGTCCAAGTAAAAATTTGGTGCCTTGTGCACCGGTATTTAATTCTAACGAAAAATTATTTAGTTTCGTTAGGATAACGCATTGTCATCCGCGATTTGGCTCTTGTTGCCCGTCTTATACGTTAAATTTATATTTATATTACAGAGCCTTGTTAAAACTCTTATATTTGATACACGCTGGCTTAAAAAATGCGTTTGTTTACCAACATTAATATATATAACAGAGAAAAGTATAGAATCGAAAGGATCTGAATAGCTCAGCTGGAAGAGCAGTCGCCCGGCAAGCGAAAGGTCTCGGGTTCGATTCCCGATTCAGCGATTTTCGGATTTATATTTTTCTCTTGCATTCATTTATTTATTTTCCGTAGGGGGGTTAAAGGGGTATTGAAATTAAATCTCAAAATATGAGATTATTTCATATTTAAAATCTTGGCCGTGTCCAAGTAAAAATTTGGTGCCTTGTGCACCGGTATTTAATTCTAACGAAAAATTATTTAGTTTCGTTAGGATAACGCATTGTCATCCGCGATTTGGCTCTTGTTGCCCGTCTTATACGTTAAATTTATATTTATATTACAGAGCCTTGTTAAAACTCTTATATTTGATACACGCTGGCTTAAAAAATGCGTTTGTTTACCAACATTAATATATATAACAGAGAAAAGTATAGAATCGAAAGGATCTGAATAGCTCAGCTGGAAGAGCAGTCGCCCGGCAAGCGAAAGGTCTCGGGTTCGATTCCCGATTCAGCGATTTTCGGATTTATATTTTTCTCTTGCATTCATTTATTTATTTTCCGTAGGGGGGTTAAAGGGGTATTGAAATTAAATCTCAAAATATGAGATTATTTCATATTTAAAATCTTGGCCGTGTCCAAGTAAAAATTTGGTGCCTTGTGCACCGGTATTTAATTCTAACGAAAAATTATTTAGTTTCGTTAGGATAACGCATTGTCATCCGCGATTTGGCTCTTGTTGCCCGTCTTATACGTTAAATTTATATTTATATTACAGAGCCTTGTTAAAACTCTTATATTTGATACACGCTGGCTTAAAAAATGCGTTTGTTTACCAACATTAATATATATAACAGAGAAAAGTATAGAATCGAAAGGATCTGAATAGCTCAGCTGGAAGAGCAGTCGCCCGGCAAGCGAAAGGTCTCGGGTTCGATTCCCGATTCAGCGATTTTCGGATTTATATTTTTCTCTTGCATTCATTTATTTATTTTCCGTAGGGGGGTTAAAGGGGTATTGAAATTAAATCTCAAAATATGAGATTATTTCATATTTAAAATCTTGGCCGTGTCCAAGTAAAAATTTGGTGCCTTGTGCACCGGTATTTAATTCTAACGAAAAATTATTTAGTTTCGTTAGGATAACGCATTGTCATCCGCGATTTGGCTCTTGTTGCCCGTCTTATACGTTAAATTTATATTATTATTGTTCAAAAGTTTTAATTTAAAAAAAAGGTAAGCTCGATAGTTTATTTATTTAATTATTTTGAGATCTATATTGCAAAAGTTGCAAAAAATTCATCGATTTTTTTTTATTAAATTTTGACACTAAATATGACAAATATTATTATAATACACACACACAATATCAACTCATATATAAAACATTTTATGTGCATATGCTTTTATATTTTTATATTCAATGTTTTGTAATTAGTTAAATTCAATATAATTGTAAATGTATTATTTTTTCGTAACTAAAACATATTACTAAATCATTAATAATTTATACAAAAAAATTGAATAATTTTTAGATATCTTGAATATAATTCAATACAAAATAATGACTATATAAGAGAGAATATAAAAACACAACACATATAATTATTTTCTGAGTTAATGAACATATACTATATATAAAATATTTATATTTGATAGTTTTATTTTCGTTTTTAATAATTCTATGTATTAAATGTTACAGTGTTATTACTTTTGGAATATATCTAAAATTTCCTTCATAAATCCAATTTTTTCCTTCCTTTCATATACAATTTTTTGATTAATAATGTTCAAATGTTTAATGTGCAACTGTGTATTTTCATCTATACTTTTGTACAATAAGCACCAAATTCTTCATAAAGACATGCCGTATTTAAAAATAATTTGTCTGTTCAAAAATTGTAGGCAACAATTTAATAAATATCTCAATTTTAAGAAACATATTTTTAGACAGCATTCAACAGATAAAAAACAAACATGCATAACTTATTGTTGTAAAGAAAGAAATTGCAATGCTCATTTTAACGATAGATTAAATTTTAATAAACATTTATATAAACATATAAGACAAAGTAAAATTGGGATTTATTGCGGATATCCAGCTTGTTCTACTAATAAAATTTTCAAAACAGTCAGCACTTATACAGTACACATATGTAGACATCATCCAAGTGATAATTTTGATAAGCAATTTGTTACTAATAAAGAATTGATAAATTTTGATACCAATAATTTTGATACCAGTAATTTTGATACCAGTAATAATGACAATCTTTTTTTGCAAAAGGAAAGTTTAAATCAATTTTTGTGTGATGTGAACAATAATGAAAAAGCTATAGCACAATTATATTTAAATTTGACTACAAAATATTTCCTAACAGAATTTGCTCTACAAGCTGTAATAGATGGTATGTCATCTATATTTACACTTATTCAAGAACACTTTATTACAACTTTAAATGAAAGCGATCTTAAAGACGATATAAAAGAAAAAATTAAAGATATTTTTTAACGTAGTTATTTTTTCTTTTTAAATGTTCATAATCCTATAAATGGTTGTCTTCGAAATACACATTCGAGGAAAACATATTTTAAACAAAATTTTCAATGTCGATAAATATCCACAAATTTTCAAAGATATGGATGAGGATAACAGATGTTTTGGAGACGGATCTCATTCAATATATTTAAAACTTCGAGACCGAAATTCTTATTTAAATAGACCACATATGAAAAGATGTCTAAGTCAAAGTTTAAATATACCTCTAAAAAAACAAAAAAAAGTATTATCTGCTAAAGCTGGATGTAATAATTGGCAGCCAGAAAAATATATTGACACAGAAACAGAAGAGACAATAGAGGACAAGGCTAAATTTCTACGTCAAATAGTTCACGATGATTCATCAAGCGATCCTAAGATTCAACATAAAATTAATTTGTATCTTGAAGCTACATATCCGGCGCAAAGATTGTTTCTTAATGATGTCTATAAAAACACCTACTATTGAAGATGTTAAAACTACATGGCCAATTCTTCTAAAAAAAAAATATATGTTTTGGCATTACGAGCAATTAATGGGACATTCAGTAGATCTTCTAAAGCAAGAAATCTTAAAAAAACAAGACAAAATACTTATTTATGGACAGCATAAAAAATATAAAGATATCATTAATTCAAATAATCCTACAGAGTTAAAATTGATAAAAATTATTATGAAACATTTTAAAGAAGATTTTCAAGAATTATTTAAAACATATCCTGTAAATATTTTTTAAATATGTTTTGTGTTTAATTTTTTATGAATGTGTCAAATTTACATTTTATTAACTAAAGTTAATTTATTAAACAGGAAGCAACACCCTTGGAAAATATAGAACCACCAGTTGTAGCACCATGTATTATAATCATAGGTAATTTCGCTATATAATTGTATTAATTATATTTTGACTTTATAGTATAGTAAATTAATATATATTTGTGACTGCTCTAATTATCATATATTTAATTATTACAGATGATCCAGCATGTCGAATGTTTTATTTATATATAGAAAAATTATTGATTGAAAGGACATATTGCTTTTATGAAGCCTTTGTGACGACCCGTTTTGTCGTCACTAGAAGCCGCGCAAGCACGAGGCCGACCGTCCGCCCGCGCTCATATAAACGGCCCCTGTCGGGGCCACCACACATCGAACACGTGGGAATTTGCCTTTTCGCCCCACCCGACCGGACCGCCCCACTCCAAGTTAGTTGGAGGGGGCTGACCGACGGGTATATAAAGCGGCGCAGCCGAGACTTCGACACCAGTCCCGTCCTGGTCTCTTGAGCGTACTCAAGGACCACTCCTCACCTCCGAACATCACCCCGGCCGACGAGCGTTCTCGTCGGTAGGCCGAGCGTCCTCGGTCACCGGATCCTCTCCGAACAGCACCCCGGTCGACGAGCGTTCTCGTCGGGCAGGCCGAGCATTCTCGGTCTCCGGATCCTCTCCGAACATCACCCCGGTCGACGAGCGTTCTCGTCGGGCAGGCCGAGCGTCCTCGGTCACCGGATCCTCTCCGAACATCACCCCGGCCGACGAGCGTTCTCGTCGGGTAGGCCGAGCGTCCTCGGTCACCGGATCCTCTCCGAACATCGCCCGGTCGACGAGCGTTCTCGTCGGGCAGGCCGAGCGTCCTCGGGCACCGGATCCACTCCGAACATCACCCCGGCCGACGAGCGTTCTCGTCGGGAAGGCCGAGTTTCCTCGGTCACCGGATCCTCCGAGAGCCACCGACATCTTGCGGAGCTCGCCCTTCTCAGGGCGCCCGAATCCAAGGCGGTTTACGGAGCTCGCCCTTTTTAGGGCGCTCGTATCCACGCCGCGTTGGGTAAATTTCGTCCGCCACGCTACTATCTTAGTTATAAGTCGTGTCCGCGTCCGTATGATTTGGTCGCGTTTCGTCCGTCGCGTTATTATTTGTAAACCTTTAGTTATAAGTCGTGCCCGCGTCCGTATGATTTGGTCGCGTTTCGTCCGTCGCGTTATTATTTGTAAACCTTTAGTTATAAGTCGTGCCCGCGTCCGTATGATTTGGTCGCGTTTCGTCCGTCGCGTTATCATTTGTAAACCTTAGTTATAAGTCGTGTCCGCGTCCGTATGATTTGGTCGCGTTTCGTCCGTCGCGTTATCATTTGTAAACCTTAGTTCCAAGGCGTGTCCATGTCCGTATGACTTGGTCACGCTTCGTCCGTTGCATTCCTTGTATTCCTTAGTTATAAATCGTGTCCGCGTCCGTATAAGTTGGTCGCGGTCCGCACTTCCTGCGATTCTCCTCTGTACGCGTAGACTAGATAATAAGCCAACTCTTGCAGGGCGGCTTCAATAAACTCTGTTTTTACCAGAACGATTGGCGTGGTTATTGCGAACCTGAGTCTCCCCCCCTCCCGAATCCTGGCACCGACGAGCCGATCCGTGGCGTCGGGAAAGGAGCCCCGTTACATGGCGCCCGAACAGGGACCTGACTCGACCGTCTGAGACTCCGGTTCGCAATCCATATGCTCGGGTGGATTTACCACCTAGACAAAGAGAAAGCCGCCCGTTATCTCGCCGACCGCGACCTCGACCCGGAAGGGAGATTAGTCGACCTCCGCCGCCGCATCAGAACCACGTGATGGCTACCCACGCCGACACCGGAGCGTCCGTAACACTCCAAGTACCCAGCCGCGAAGACCGTTATCGGAGTGCACGAGGAACCCCCGAACCACCCGAAGCCGACCCGGCGAAGGCCCTTAACCAGATACGCAAGTGGGGCTGCCATTTCGAGGGTAAAGACCCCCTCGCGTTCCTCGAGCATCTAGAGGAACTCAGTGTGGCCTATGGTCTGGAAGACCACCATCTCTTAATCGGGCTAGCCGAGCTGCTAAAAGGCGAGGCCCTCCTGTGGTGGAGGAACACCAGAGAACAGTGGTCCACCTGGACCGAATTCCGAAAAGATTTCCTCGCCCAATACCTGTCGCCCGGGTATAAGCGACAATTGCGGCGAGAAATACAAGGCCGGCGACAAAAGCCAGGGGAGGCTTTTACTCGATACGCCACCGCCGTGCAAACCATGATGCGTCGGGCCGGCGGTTACACCCGCAGGGACCAGCTCGAACAGCTGTACGAAAACGCTGACCCAGAGCTCCAGCTATACATTCGGTTAGACGAACTGCACACCGTCTCCGAACTATGTAGCCGCGCCGCTGAGTGGGAGGAGATCCACCGGCGCCGTCAAGAACAACGTCGCGAGGTCTCCAGATCTACCGAGGCAAACCTCGCTGCAGCCACATATGACCGCTCGAACTGCTGCTGGCGGTGCAAGCAGCGAGGACACACCCGACTCGATTGCCGCCGCCCAGCACGAAAGTTCTGTTCACAGTGCGGGAAGGATGGCGTTCTAACACGGGACTGCCATCCTCCGGCGGGAAACGGTCAGCGGGTCGGAACCGAGGAGGCCACCGCCCGACCCGCGTCCAGTTAGAGTACACGCCACGGCCGCACCTATTAGTCCGGATCCGCCGACTCACCGCCTGGGCGCTTCTCGACTCCGGATCGGAGGTGTCCTTCATAAACGCCACCATGGCCGACCGCCTGTCCGAACACGGCCTCCAGATCCAGCCATCCGAAGAACCGGTCAACCTGGCCGACGGCTCCAGGGCATCCACCTCCGGCTCAGTCCGACTCGCCCTCCGGATCGGCCCTCGCTCTGTTCGCCACCGTTTCCAGGTCTTGGATAACCTTAGCAGCGAGGTCCTCATCGGGGTCGACCTGTGGGCTCGATTACGCCTCACCCTGCCGCCTCCGCCACCCGATCGGCCGAAAGAGACGGCCCCAATCTATTTGGCAACTATCCACGGCCGATTATCAGCCGGGATCTCTCCACGTTCGCCCGAAGAGGACCAGCGCTTCCGGCAGTTTCTGGACACCGAGCTTCGGTTATTCGAATCCGTGCGGGGACCCACCGACCGCGCCGAACACCGGATCAGACTACGACCCGGGGCCCCGATAAAACAGCGGTACCGACCGCGTAATCCAGCCATGCAAGCCGTCATCGATAGCGAGGTTAACAAGATGCTGGACGCCGGGGTGATCGAGCCCTCCGGCAGTGCCTGGAGTTCCCCCGTGGTCCTCGTAAAAAAGAAAGATGGGGGCCACCGGTTCTGCGTGGACTACCGCAAACTGAACCAAGCTTCTGATAAGGACGCCTACCCACTGCCGCACATCCTCGCTACGCTCGACAAGCTCCGTGGGGCCCAGTATCTATCTACATTGGACTTGAAAGACGGATATTGGCAGGTGCCACTAGACTCGGCCAGCCGCCCCGCCACCGCCTTTACGATTCCCGGGCGAGGACTCTATCAATTTAGAGTCATGCCCTTTGGGTTGCACTCAGCACCGGCCACGTTCCAGCGGTTGCTGGACAGCGTCCTCGGCCCAGAATTGGAGCCCAATGTATTGGTCTATCTCGACGACATCATCGTGGTCAGTCCTTCATTAGAGGCTCATATGGAACACCTGGCCGAAGTCTTCAGACGGCTACGACAAGCGCGCCTCCGCCTCAACCCACAGAAGTGCCACTTCTGTTGCAGTCGCCTCAAATACTTGGGGCATATAGTGGACAAAGACGGCATTCGAACTGACCCAGATAAGGTCAGTGCAGTGGCCGCCTGGACAGCACCTACCACTGTCCGTCAAGTGCGCCAATTCCTTGGAGTCGCCTCCTGGTACCGTCGCTTTGTACCAGACTTTTCCGCCACCGCCGCACCATTGACACGCCTGACCCATAAAAGGGCACGCTTTACTTGGGGACCGGAGGAAGAGAAGGCGTTCGACGAGCTGAAGCGGGCACTCACCACCGCGCCGGTTCTGGCCTGTCCCGACTTCAGCCGACCGTTTACCCTCCAGACCGACGCCAGCGCTTGTGGGCTCGGGGCTGTACTCACCCAAGAACTGCCCGAAGGCGAACGCGTCATTGCCTACGCCAGTCGCACCCTAAATAACGCCGAAAGAAACTACAGCGCTACAGAATTGGAGTGCCTGGCGGTGGTTTGGGGAATTCGCCGAATGCGCGACTATCTAGAGGGCTATCACTTCACGGTCGTCACCGATCACCAGTCGCTCCGATGGTTGCAACGTTTGGAGGCTCCCACCGGCCGCCTAGGGAGATGGGTGTTCGAGCTCCAGCAGTACGATTACGAGATTCAATATAGAAAAGGAAAACTGAACATCGTAGCCGACGCTCTCTCCCGTCAACCCGAGGCCTGTGTCCTCCAGACCGCCCCAGATTGTCGGTGGTACCGTCGCATGTATCGCGAGGTGCAACAACACCCGGCCGACCATGCGGACTACCGGATACAGAACCGCCGGCTATTTCGGCACCTGCTGCACGATCTCAACTTTCACGACTCGCCCAGTGAGGAGCAATGGAAGCAATGCGTCCCGAGGCCCCAACGCGCGGAAATACTACTACGCCGGCTACATGACGACCCGACCGCCGGACACTTCGGAATCACAAAGACCATCGCACGGGTGGCCCGCTTATATTATTGGCCAGGAATGTTCCGCGACGTCACTCGATACGTCCGTGACTGCCGGAACTGCGCCACCCATAAAGCCGCACAAACCCTGCCAGCCGGGAAACTTCGGCCACCAATGTCACGCATCCGTGGCAACAAGTCTCGATTGACCTGGTCGGACCATTGCCACGGTCGACCAGTGGGCATACCTGGCTGCTAACCATGCAGGATCGGTTCTCAAAGTGGGTGGAGATGACACCCCTCCGCCAGGCCACCGCCGCCAACGTCACACGAGAAGTCGCCGGGCGCATAATATATCGCCATGGTTGCCCGGACACCATCATCTCTGATAACGGGACTCAGTTGCGATCGCACCAGCTCGAAGGGTTGTTAAGATCCTTCGGGATCAAACACCAGACCGCTCCCGCCTACGCCCCACAGTGCAACCCGGTCGAGAGAGCCAACCGCACCATAAAAACTATGGTGGCGCAATACGTGGAGGGCCGGCACCGCCGCTGGGATGAGCACATCCCCCAGCTCCAGTTTGCTTTCAA